AGCGAAAACAACAACCTACAGGGTCCAGGTCAAGTTTGGGATGGGTATACCATATCCCTAGAAGTAAAAAACACACATCAGCCAAGCGGAGCCCCGCCCACAGTGGGCGTGGCGTGCATCGGTTGATTTCAAATTCAGTCACAAAACAGCCTCGAGACCGGGACAAAAGTGGGCATAGGTGTGGGTTGGTAAGCCAGATCGAACTGAGGAGACCCACCTCGGTGGGCGGGGCGTTCTCTAGAAAATGGGTGCTCAGTGAAAATATTCATAACTCGGTTAAGAGGAAGCCTACAGACCAGAAACGAAATTAGTGCAGGGGAGCAATGCCTAAGGTATTTCCACCACGCATGATGTGAACGGAGGCCCGCCCACAATGGGCGGAGCGTGTCGTGAAGCGGACAGCATTTTCTACAAGAGCTCATAAATCGGCTCCGAGATGACTTAGAGACCGGAAAACAACGGATAGAGGTCAGGAGGGGAGGGGAAGCTAAATGTCAGGGATGGGCGTGGCTTACATCAAAGTGGGCGGAGTTTGCAATTAGGCTTATAACTCGGTTCCTAGGAGTCCCGGAGTCCGGGAAAAAAGCGTATGAGGGTTGGCAGAGGGAAAGGGGTCAACCGTTGTTGGCGGGCGGAGCATGCACCAAAGTGGGCGGGGTTTGCCACGGTACTTCATAACTCGGTTCCAATAAGTTCCGGAGATGGGGAAAAGTGAATAAGTATTGAGGGTAATGGAGTAGGGTAGTTCCAGAGATGGGAGAAAAGTAGAAAAAGGTTGGGGAAGAGATGATAGCCGACTGATATCAGTGGGCGACCCACGCACCAAAGTGGGCGGGGTTTGCCACAAAGATACGTAGCTCGATTTCGTCCCCTACAAGACCTCATAATTCGGCTCCGAGATGACTTAGAGACCTGAAAAAAATACGCCAGAGGTGAAAGTAGGAGTAGAGGTTGAATGTGAACGCTGGGCGTGGCACACCCGGATGTGGGCGGAGTTTGCCACCGCTCTCATAACTCGGTTCCTAGAAGTTCCGGCGACCGGGGAAAATGTGCATAAGTATTGAGGTATGGAGTAGGGTTGAATGCCATTGTTGGGCTAACCATGCACCAAAGTGGGCGGGGTCTGCCTCAGAAATTCGTGACTCATAACGCCATTTACAAGACCTCATAATTCGGCTCCGAGATGACTTAGAGACCTGAAAAAAATACGCCAGAGGTGAAAGTAGGAGTAGAGGTTGAATGTGAACGCTGGGCGTGGCACACCCGGATGTGGGCGGAGTTTGCGGCGTAAGTAAGATGTACCGAGCAGAAAGCTAAAATCAAGACAAAAATACTGATGGGCCCGATTTTACCGCTGCAGCCCCGTCTCATGCACGCGAATGCGTGCGCAGCCAAACTGGTATTATATAATATGTAAATCGTAGAGACATTCTTTTTTTACTTTTCACGTTTCACCTCCTGCTTGTGGTGGTAGTTTGGGTGATTAGGGAGCGCACTTTTACCTGAGGCGCTAGAGCTTTAGAGAAGAGTTCACATCGATTTCGTAGTTGTTGGCGATTCCCCTGTTCCCAAATCAAATTAAGACACTGCAAAGAGTAGCGTTAAATTTTGCTGTTAGACTGCAATGCAGATCACCACCGTGGCAGCGTGGCTGCGCATGATTTCTGAGGTGGGCATTCTGCAGACTGAAGCAGCATAATCGCTTGTGCGGAAGCAGCACCGTTAGGCCATGCACAGAGTTTTGGGATATTCGGCAATGACCCACATTTCGCAGTCACTTAACCCCTGGATCTCATGAAATGTTATGTGTGGCTTGACAGAATCACGCTCGCTCATACGAAAATGCAGATCCAAACGCGAGTTTATGGGCGCTTCGCGCTGTGCATCTTTTCGTCGCAGGATCCTTCCCCGCAATTCTGCAGCGAAAACGTTGAACTGCAATCGCTGCGACGTCGCGTTTTCTCATGACACCACATGGATTGGATGTTGTGCTTCCATTTTCGAAGTATGAAATTTTAAGCGTTTGCGTTCCATGCTAATTCTTCAGTGAAATCAGCAAAAATATGCGAGTTGAGGGTGTTTGCAGCTTCCAATTTCTGGAATCATGAATAAAGAAGAGATCATAAGAGCAAACCTTGCTACGGCCACATTCGGTGCCGTCGAGCGCTGGAAAATAGGTTTTCGTTTCACATGGTTCACTCCTTCGTTTGGTTCTGTCTTTACACCAAACCCGAGCGCACACATCACGACTCAAAAAATACTCCTTGTTCTGAAATTTGTCACCGTCACAAATTGTAATTTTCCCTTCACAGGGCTATGAAATTAGATTGACCATCCCTTGATCCAAGGCTAAGCTGAAATCGAACAAAGCTTAAGACATCGATCGATTCCAGAAAAAAGAGCTATAAAGGATGGTGTATAAAGCATTTGCCGTTGATCAATCCCTTTTGGGATGCGGCACGCATTCTACTTCCATTTGTACATTCGTAGTGGCGTTTGAATGCGATGTGGCCTATACAATGACTTGCGGGGGCCAGCCGATGTACAAGTCAGTGTTTTTTCCTCCCAGACAAGTCTGGTACCAATTAACCGACCCCGGAGGGATGGAAGGCTTGGTTGGCCCGGGCGACTCACGACCCAGGATTTGATCCCCGGACCGCTGCGTGGTAAGCAGCGCCACTTGTCACTAGGCCTCCAAGAAGTATCAGTCTTTCTCAAACC